ATGACGGTGTAGTGTGTTACTAATGGTAACCGTTGAGACTGCGGTCCCAGCTCTCTTCAGATCATTGACCAGGTCCTCCTGTGTAGTTCTAGGCTGATCCCTCACCTTTCTCAGGGTCATTGATACTCCACGAGGTGAGATCTTGCATGGAGCCGCAGTCCAAGGGAGATTGACAGTCATCTTGAATTTCTTCCATTTTCTAATAATTGCACCAACAGTTGTTGCCTTCTCACCAAGCTGTTTGCCTATTGTCCTGTAGCCCATCCCAGCCTTGTGCAGGTCTACAATTTTGTCCCTAGTGTCCTTAGACAGCTCTTTGGTCTTGCCCATAGTGGAGAAGTTGGAGTCTGATAGATTGGGTGTGTGGACAGGTGTCTTTTATACAGGTAACGAGTTCAAACAGGTGCAATTAATACAGGCAATGAGTGGAGGATAGGAGGGCTTCTTAAAGACAAACTAACAGGTCTGTGAGAGCCAGAATTCTTGTTGCTTGGTAGGTGATCAAATACTTATTTCATGCAATAAAATGGAAATAAATTATTTAAAAATCTAACAATGTGATTTACTGGAATTGTTTTGTAGATTCTGTCTCTCACAGTTGAGGTGTACCTACGATGAAAATTACAGAACTGTCCGTTCTTTGTAAGTGGGGAAAAGTTGGAAAATAGGTGGTGTATCAAATACTTATTTGCCCCAATGTATAAGAAAGTTCTCCGAGTTTCTGATCCTTTGTGGTCAAAATCTGGCTACGTTTCACTGACTGGAACTATTCGGTCAAGGTGAGGGAACGCCCCCAGTCACGCATAACAACAATAACGGTAGCGGGGGTGTCTGACTCAGACCTGCCAGCTTCCCTCTCACTAGTCTCCACATGGCTGATGCTGTAATTCTCCCTCTCTTTCTGGGTTAGGAAACGTCCGCTGCTGGCCCAGCACTGACTCAGGAGCCTCCTCCTCATCCGTGCACACTGGTCACAGAACTGTGCCTTATGACCTGAACTAGGATGAGACATGACAGCTCATCTCTTCTGAACAACCGCACAACAGCTACACACGGTGCTGGGTGAGCACACTTGTCGTTTCTGCCAGGCCACATTTTACTTTAACCTCATGTATTTTATTCTGATTTGAAGAAGTCACCAGGAGCCTCACATACACGACCGACTCTAGTGGACTTAACATCGTGTGAAGAATCTCATGAACTGACCAGCAGCTCCAGCCTCCTCCGTTTCCCTCTGATGTGTGAAATGTCTCAGCAGACAGAGAATTACCACAAAGCCTGAAACTATATGTGGACAACTAACGACGCCTGCGACTTACCGAGGAGAGGAAACTCAGAGGCTGGGAGGCGCGTTGTGAACAGCTTGTCCAGGATGCAGAGAGCTCGACGCATCATGAAGAAACAGACCGGGATGTCGCTGAGGTTCAGAGTCATGTCGTTCACAGCTCCTCTGAAAAATTACGAGCCAAGTTTAACTCGACTGAAGCAGCATTAAAGAGAAGATTAGACCAAGCTACGCACTCACATTTCTAATGGCTAAGTTTCTGACCGACGCTGCTTGTTGTTTAATGTATCAAAGGCTGTGAAGACTCAAAGACCTGCCAGCTGCCAGGGTCATTTCAGAGACCTCCAGCCACAGCACAGAGAGGAGGCACACACACACACACCGAGACCACCCAGCCCCCCAACTCCCCTTCACTAACTGTCTCACCAGGCCAGGTACGCACAGTCCTGAGGAAATTTAACCCCCGCAGAGTGGCAGGACCGGACAACATCCCTGGGAGGGCTCTCAGGGCATGTGCCAGCAAGCTGGCTGATGTTCTCACCACCATCTTCAATCTCTCCCTCAGCCAGAGCATCGTCCCCACCTGCTTTAAGACCACAACCATCGTCCCCCTTCCCAAGAAGAGCCCGGTCACCTGTCTAAACGACTACAGGCCAGTGGCACTCACCCCAATTATTATGAAGTGTTTTGAGAGAGTGGTGCTGGCCCACATTCAGAGCAGTATACCGGACACCCTGGACCCCCTGCAATATGCCTACCGGCCCAACAGGGCCACCTCAGACGCCATCGTGGCTGCCCTCCACTATTCCCTTTCTCACCTGGAAAATGGAGACTCCTACATCAGGATATTTTTCATTGACTACAGCTCCACCTTCAACACAGTTGTCCCCCACAAACTGTCCACACACCACCCTCTGTGACTGGCTCCTGGACTTTCTGACTGGCTGGCCCCAGACTGTCAGGGATGGCAAAAGGACCCCC